AGAACAAAAAGAAGAAAGAGAAAAAGAGAGAGAGACCTACAAAAGATTGTTTTGGCTGTTCGGGGTCTTTTGTGGTTCCTTATAAATTTTGGAATTGTTTGTTCTAGTGTTGATGGGGGTTGCGTTCGATCTTTGGATTGCTTTGGGTAGTGTGGCAATTTTGATAATGTTGATTCTTCCAATCCAAGAGCACAAGAAATCTTTCCACTTCTTTGCGTCACTTCAGTTTTCAGAGTATAGGTAACCTTCTTGGTTAAGTTTATTTCTAGGTATTTTGTTGTTTTTGATGTAATGGAAATGTCTCTACCAGTTATAAAATTCTGGTTTTTGAAGTGAAAAAAAAAATGAATGAAGGGCCGCAAATGGTAAAATACCCTTATTTATGGGTGAGTTGTATTCCACTATATATATATATATATATATATATATATGCACTAAAAAAATGATCTGTCAAGCCATGGAAGACATAGAAGAAACTTGAAAGACATTACTAAATGGAAGAAGCCAGTTTGAAAAGGCTACAAACTGTACAATTCCAACCAAATAACGTTCTGGAAAAGGCACAGCTACAGAAACAATAAAAAGATCATGGTTTCTAGTGGTTTGGAGAGAGGGAGGGAGAGAGGAATTAATAGATGGAGCACAAGGAATTTTTAGGGCAATGAAATTATTCTGTATGATACTGCAGTGGTGGCTACATGTCATTACGCATTTGTCAAAACCCATAGAATGTACAACATCAAGAGTAAACCTTAATGTAAACTATAGACTTTGGTTGATAATAATGTGCCCCTGTTGGTTCACTGATTGGACCAAATATGCCACACTGATGAGGGATCTTGAGGGTAGGGTATATATGTGTGGGTGGGGAGAGCTATGTGGGAACTTTAGTTTCTGCTCAATTCTGCTGTAAACCTGAAACTGCTCTAAAAAAATTAAGTCCATTGAAAAAAAAACTATGTTGATAGAGATCAAACAGCTTGTCCAAGAGAGAGTCACAATCAAAGAATGCATAAAAGGCATCTAATAAATCAACAAAAGGGTTTTATTACTTTGTAAAGAAGTCATCTTTTAATCTTTTTTTCTAATGGCAGTACTAGGAATTGAACCAAGGACCTCACGCACGCAGCCAAGCAGGCACTTCACCACTGAGCTATTACTCTCACCCCCAACAAAAGGGTTTTAAAGGTCTGACTGCACAGGTAGTATCTCTGGTACTAAGAAATAAAACACTTGGTATTAATTCTCTATCTGTATCATCCACAGTTCACCCTTTATGCACTAGATAGAAGACCAAATAATAAAAAATGCATCCCCAAATTAAAGGAATTTTTATTTTCTGCATAAAAAGAGACCAGATTCAGATATCAAAAAAATGGCAGAAAAATTACAGGGCAGAACATGGAAAGGAAATTTATAACTTAATATTGTATGTGTCAAAGTGATACAAATACACAGAATGAGATGGGATCAGTAAGATGAAACTGAGATAAACATTTATTTTGGGGCTTTCTAGTTGATTCCTTTTGGACCTGTTGCTTGTGATTGGGCTGCCAAGAATGAGGGTCTGCAGGTGAGTGGTTAGAACCAAAGGCAGAAGGGTCAAACATGCCCACTGCTGAGGAGGGTTTGGGAAATAAGCAATGAGGAAGATGCTTGCAGAGAGGGGAGGCAGTTCTCCAGGGGAGGTCAAAATTTGTATTAAGTGAACTACAAGTAAGGAACCAATCTACCAAATATTAATATTTCATTCTTCCTACCAGGAGGTTCACTCATTCATATTTAGACATGTTATTTTCAAGGGATCATATCTGGTAAATTGGACTACTTTGCTTCGGCAAGCCTGGATTCCTGGGGTTCTAACAACATGTCTCCTTGAAACTCAAGAAGCCCTCTTCTGGACCAGAAGTTATACCAGTGCCTTGCAGTTCTAATGGGTTGCTTCTTGTGCCAAGACTGTCCAGTCATAGAGATGCTGGAGCCCTGCACTGGTCTCTAAACCTCTCATGTGGAGTCAGAGTGCACCCATGAACAAAGCCCATCTGGAGTCACTGAAGGTTCATCACTAAGTATCAGGTACACAGCTCCTCACCCACACCAACCTTACCTTATACGTAATTCACCCAGTACAGACTGTGACCCCCTCCCCCTGCCACACAAATATAGAATGGCCACTAACATGTCACATCTCTGAGGACATCTTCTCCATTGCTTATTACCCACCCTATCCTTGGAAATAGGCTTGTGTTGTTCCCTTTGCCTCTTTGTTCTACCCACCCACCCACAGTCTTTCTCTTTTGGCAGCTCAAAAGGACCTGGCACTCCTGATGTAACTACCGACGGAACTCTGCTTCGCCAAATCGGGTTCTGACACCATGCTCTGCTGCCAAGGTTCCTGCCTCGCTCCAGCTGTTCCCCTGTTTCTTTCCCAGCAGTGTGACGCCCACAGTGGGGAGCAGTGGAGAACTCAGCCCCCAGCATTCCTGTTTCTATCCCTGGGCTCTGCTGAAAGCTCCCAAGTCCCTGACACGACCATGAGCTACTGTGCACAGGGCTTTCACAAAGTTTGGGCTAATCAAATGAGCAAGTTTGCTTTGTACTTTGGGACAGAAAGAATCTCATTATCTGGTGTCACAAGTCTTGAGCCAAAATAGACATTCTAGCCTGAGGCGAGTGGTCAGAGTGAAGCCACCTACTGCCGGTCCACAGGGCTGCTTTCTAAGAGTTCAGGTAGATGTGAGCCAGACATTTGAGGCTGCCCAGGCATACGTTGCTAGGCAGACCTTGCACCTGTCCCTGGTTTCTATCTATCTATGCACATACAGCATCTCTGTCAAATTAAGGGGGAAAATATCCCACCACTCTAACACATTCACTGGCTTAAGTTTTATGTAACTCTTTCCACTGCTTATTGACATGGATTTATTTTTACATAAAGTCAATCAACTAGCTTGTAGTTCCTTCAGAACAGAGCTCAAAGTATTGCCATTTAAAACCACTTCATCAACATATACACTGATCACTTTCTCTGTGAAAAGCAGTTTCAAACTGCCTTCTCAAAACCTGATTACCAAAATATTGACTAATCTCCTGTAGAAAAATAGAATGCACTGAGCAGCTTGTGAAATACATTTTGGATGGCTAAGTATGTTGTGGGGTTTTTTTTTGAATTCTGTAAAATTTCCCAATTCTGAACAAATTTCTTTATGCATCTTAAATCAATAGCCTGGCTGGATGGTACCTGGTGCTTTGCCTCACCTCAGCTGGTTTGGTATCCTCCATATTGTTGTATATGGTGAAAACACTATCTGTCCTTCTTGAGAAGGTTATGAAACTATTTTGAAGGAGGGTGGTTTCATTGAAATTTTATTTAATTTATGCACAGTTGGCAAAGATTCTGGAAAATAATCATGTTTAATAGCTTTTTCATAACAAGTATGTATGACTATTTAAAATAAAATGACATTTTCTAATTTAAAGAGGATATTTATTTGTTTATTAAGTCCATCATAATCATGTTAGTGGTACTTTCATACAAAATATGAATAGTGATCTATCTTGTTAGACACAGTGAACACTCATATCTCCCCTGCCAAAGAGGAGAAAGAATGAAATTTAAAAATGTCTGGCCTTTGGCAAGTTACCTTATTTATTCAAGCATTAAAATCCTCATCTACTCAGGGTTGCTGGGAAAATGAAATGTGTGGAGGTGGTTTTGAACAATGCCTGGAGCACGGTAGGAATGGATGCAAAGGTAACTGAAGAATACTTTTTCTGGGTCACACAATGTAGGCTTGCGGCTCCCAGTAAACATGCCCCTATCTTACTCTTGACGTTCTCTCATTTATTCAGGATTTACTAAGTACTTGCCAAGTTTCAGGCTCAGGTACTAAGGATAAAAAAGTGGTAAAACATTCTCCCGGTGGAGCTGAGTGAGAGACACAGCCATGTGAACAGACCACTTTAAATGCAGGCTATGAATGCCCTAGCAGCACAGTCTGGGTTTTCAGCAAAGACTTCTTCCTTTCTCTGAGCTGAACTGTGAAGAATGGATAGGAGTTGGCCAGACAGACAATGTGGGGGAAAGTATTTCAGGCAGGGAAAATCCTAATGCAAATGCCTGCAGGTAAGAGAGAATTTAGAGAGAATCTGAGTAACTGAAAATAATTCAGTAAAGTTGAAGATTGGGTAAAAAACAGTAGTGTTCACAGATGGGACTGAGGAAATAAACAGGGATCAGATTATAAAAGGCATTATAAACCATGGTGCAGAGTTTGGAATTTATCTTAAAAGCAATGGAAGTCAAGGAAGGGCACTGTGTAAAACAGTGCGGTCTGATTTATGTTATAGAAGCATTACATATAACGTGGAAAATGATCTGGAAGGCAAGACTGGGAGGCTGAGTTGGCAGCTGATACAATAATTGAGGCAAAAGATGATAGTGACCTCAATTACGGTCATGATGATAGGGTCAGAGAAGACAAATGGGTAGGTGGTTAGCAGGCAGTCTCAACTGGACTTGGTGATTTATGAGAAGAAGTGACTGTGATGATAAGGGAGCCAAGGATGACACCCTGGTTTACTGGCTACTGGGATGCTACCATTCGCTAGAGGGAATATAAGGAAAAACAAGCTTAGGAGAAAAGATAATGAGTTCAGTTGTGGATACAATGAATTTCAAATGTCCATAGAATATCCAGAGACATGCAGAGTTCAAAAGAGGGCAATCCTGGTACAATACATTTGGGAGTAATCAGCAGGTAGCTGGTAATTGAAACCATAGAAGTAGAAAGCCAGGGAGAATATATAAAGGGAGGTATTTTCTGGGACAGAATCCCATAAAACACTGACACTTAATAGATGAACTGAGGAAGAGGAATCCCCAAAAGGGATTGAAAAGTCATGGCCAAACAGGTAGAAAACTCAGGAGAATTACAAGTCACTAAAATCAAGAGAAAAAAGTATTTCAAGAAGGTTCACCAAAGTCATAGGAAACAAGAAGACAAATGATATCAAGTGGTACAGAAAAGCCAAGTAAGGAGCTTTGATTTTGATTAGTTTTAATAGCAAGGAGGTGTAAGTCAATCTAAGTTTCATAAACACAACAGAGACACTTACCTGCATATACACATACTTGACAGGCTTTAAATCCTCAAATAATAGGTTATGTTCCTCTAGGATCCACCAAGTCTGCTCTATCTTGTTTTTTTTCTCTTACCACCCCATCCTTTGTAGCTGCGCTGGAACTCACCTGCAGCCCTCATCCAAACAGTAAAAGAGTAAAGAGCAGGGGGTGGGCTGCAACTTAAAGTTCAGTGACCAAAGCTTAATCCATTTCAGTGGTACCCTGATTCTAGCTGTTGTATGGAAACTCCCCAATGGAAACCACTCACTATCATTTTAAATGCAAATCGTAGAAATGAAATGATGACTTGATCAACTGAAGCTATGAATTTTAATGCTCATCTCGTAACAACTCAATTGACCTTTGGAAACTTTAAGAAGGGAGGTCATGGACTATACATTTTAATATTTCAGAACTTTACTACTGGCTTTTGCTTTAGGCAATACTATTTATAGACAGAAAACAAAAGTATGCATAGCTTAACTTCCTTGCTATATTTAGATGATCAGAATTATTAAGGAAAACATGCATTTGGAAAGCTTTGCTGCAAAGAAAATGACCTATTTTCAAAGCCCAACTATAACTCAGAAATTCACATGTATAAAAAGTTTTAATTTGTCAAGGGGTTCAATGTATAAAAATTCTACATTTCCTTTTTTTTTACTTCTTTAAAACATATGGTTTAGTTAAAAGAAATAGGATTTATTTAGATAGCAGAAGAATGTCAGATTATATGACTCATATCCTACCTAAATTTTTCTGTTCCTGTTGGAAAATTTCCTCTAACAGATGAGTAATCTTATTTTATGCTGGATCAGCCCCACAATTTGATATAGTTATGGGTTTGAAATAGGAGTTGCTAGTTGTATGATTCAAATGCTCTTTGAGTACAATATAGTTATCCCATTCCTTTAATAAAAAATTGAAATTATATAGAAGATCTCTAACAGTCTTTATCACTAATGAAGTATACCAGTGATGTAAATCAGATTTTCATCCTGAATAGAGTTAGAAGTTCCCCAAATTACCAAAAAAAAAAAACAGGAAAAAGGTAAATATGTAAATAATGAGCTTGACACTGATTGCAAGCAAAATCTAAAATAGATTCTCAAACAGATGGTCTGTGAGCTTTTAGAAATGTAAGAAGTGACCATCAAAAGCCAGCATGGGCACAGTACAAACAAATTTTGCAGGGTAATCCAATGTCCTATCAAAATAGGGTTATTGGACTAATGGATTTGCAAAGCTGATATAATATACACAAGGGGACCTAAAAAGGTAAAACTAATTGAATTTTTTTAAGTTACAGAAAAAATAAAACTAATCAAACTATTCAGTCTTAATCCAGTATGCAGGTATTCTATTTACTATGATATAATTTGTATGACTTTCAAATATTTTTTGAGCACTTACTTTGTGTCTTGCACTGTGCTAAGTGCTTATACATCACCTCTTAATACAGTTCTACCTATGAGGTAGAAACTATTAGTTATCAGGGAGGAAAGGAGGTGGGGAGGGATAAATTGGGAGTTTGACGTTTTCAGATACCATTATATATAAAATAGATAACAAGATCCTACTGAACAGCACAGGGAACTATATTAAATACCTTGTAATAGTCTATAATGAAAAGGAATATATGTATGTATAAATGAATCACTATGCTGTACACCAGAAATTAACACAACTGTATTTCAATAAAATACTTAGTTCACACACACAAAAGGCAGTGGAGTGTATGGCTTAAGCGCACAGACTTGCAGCCACTCAGCATCCATTCAAATCCTGACTCTCTCATTTAAATGGCTGAGAAACATTGAGAAAATCACTTGATCTCTGCCTCGTGTTGATCATCTGTAAAATGGGGATGGTAATAGTAACTCCCTTGAGAAGAGGCTATGATGATGAAATGAATTAATGCATGCAACACCTTAGAAAAGTATCTGGCACATCATAAATGCTATATGAGTGTCAGCTGTTAACAACTCCATTTTGGAGAAGACGACGCCTCCAACACACCAGTTTCCCAAGTCAGGATCTAAACTCAGTGCTGAGGCAAAGGCCCATGCCCTGAACCTCTATAAAAATTACACTTTAAAAAATGTGTGACATTCTTAGATGATTTCAAATAACCCTTGACATCCACCCACTTCTCAATATCTTTGTTTTAACAATGTACCTTATACCTAAGGTATTTGGGACGCTATTTCTGGGCTCCTGTTCTGAAACTTCCTAGAAGCCAGAAAAGCTTCTTAGGAAATTGGGTTTGCAAATTTGAAAGCTACAACCTTCACATGTCAAAGACATATTATTATACCTCTGGAGAGTGACATGTGTTGACCTCATTTAATAAAGA